GTTTGCTGGTCTTAAGATACCCTGGGAGAAACAGAGGTAATTTTGCTATTTTTTTTCTAAATTCAGAGGATAATAATATAGAACATGTGAGATTATCATCAGTCTGCTGCAATCAAACAGCTCAGCATCTTTGAGAGCACTTCTTGCCATGGATAAGAGGTTCATTCTTACTGAGACAGACATTATCTTGGATGAAGCTCTTATAGTTGAAATTGTCTGCAATGAATGAAGTAATGCTGTCAAATTATAGCACAGGAATAGCCATCTAGATATGCACTGGATTTTTTTTTTTAACTAGATTAATAGACCTGGGCACATAGACAAGTAGCCTAAGGTATAGATACCTAGATCATTGTAAAAATGGGAAAAAAAATTGTTACAAGCTTTGTGTTTTCAATAGGAAAAAGATTGGCCCTATGTCTTAGAGTAAGAGAAACTTGTTACTTGAAGTTTTGATATCAACCTTATTTTTGAAATGTGCATTTCCTCCTGGCTGTTGAATTCATCTCAGCCAAAACAAACTTTGATGTGAAGCTTATTCCTTTTAAAGGGGATGTTACAGGTTCCTGTGTCCAAGCTTGGACAGGAGAAGCATCTCAGGCCCACTAAAATATAACACAGTTCCTAGGATCTAATTTTACTTGTTTGCCTTTATTTATATATTGCAGTTGCAGAATTATTCTTGTGTTGTCACTTTTATCAGTTGTTCCCTATTCTCTGCTCTCAGAACTGGATTTTTAAAGTAGTTTTACTTATATTTTACTGTGGTAACTCTCACAGAGACTTTGCTTCCTCTTTCATTATTCTGGTCTCCCAAAAAATGGGATTAAACAGCAACCAGCCATCCTTTGGACATCTTTATTAAAGGGTAAAAGGGCTAGTGGGGAAATAAAAGAGTTTACAAGTTAAGTTTGATGGGATTTTACTAAGATGCTGCTGAGTCACAAGTTCACCAGTCTTCTGTTTTAATCTTTAGTTTTTAATGTCTATTAATCCACACATTTTCTGTGAAGATGAACAGTGCTGACTGCAGGAGGCCCATTGTTTTCCAGTTTGTCTACATTCTATGTAAAAAGGTGATTCCTGTGAGAGTAACTGAGCACTGGCACAGATTTCCAAAAGAGATTTTTGAGTCTTGATTCTTGGAGATAATAGAAAGCTGCCTGGACCTTGTTGTGGGCAGCCTGTTCTAGATTGCCCAGCATGAGCAGGAGCTTGGACCAGATGATCTCCAGAGGTCACTGCCAACCTCAGACCTTCTGTGGTTCTGTTGTGGAGTGCTCTGTAATTACAGTTTTATAATTTGTTTTATTAGTTTTTTAAGTGGTGTTTGTCTTTTTAGACTGTCTAGACTAGGCTCTTTTAGTTCTCAAATCATTGAAGACAGTTTTGGTTTATGAATTATGTAAATAGTATGTCCAGAGAATAGGTTAGGAATAAGTGTTTCCAAGACTCCCTTAGGCTGAAGAAGTGATATAATCTAAGATTGATTTTCAATTTCTATCTGAAGTGTAGTGGCAGACCTCTGCTAAGAGGGATGTTAGGGGAAGCGCTTGTCCATTGTCAAGCTGCTGTCTAGGAGAAGCCACCCAAGCAGCACATACTGAAGACTGGATGATCCAGGAAGGCCCTCTAGCCTTGATGAGTGGTCTTGTACAGTCATCCCCACATCTTATAAATTATCTGTTGGGACAATGTGGAACCAGCTCTCCATTGTCTTTACAGCTGTGTTGGTCCAAAGTGACTAGAGTAGGCTGCCAATGTCAGCTGAGTGCAAAAAAAATTATACATTCACAATTAAATTCTCTATGAAGGTAGAAAAAGATAGTGATGTTCTGAGTGAAACAGCTTCCATGGGCATTTGAACCTCCATAGAGACAGCATGGCCTGAGCAATGACCCAGCACATGGCTGCAGTGATGGGACTGTTGTGTGTGGCTTGGCATCTGTTCATGGGCACTGCTAACTGAGCCTAAGCTGCAGCCAGATGAACCACTAGGTAAGATACTGAAGTGCAGGTCCAGGGATATCCAACGATATTTGAGTTGGCCTCTGCTTGCATTGCCTGTTTGTGCTTAAAAGAATTGTGATCTTCTGGGCTGTCAAGTCCACATTTTGCATAATATGATATTCCCTCGTCATTACAACCAGATTGTTAACAGTAAAAAAGCAAGTGTAAGATGGTGAACAACCAGCTCTCTTGCACATAAACTATCCTGTTTATGTGTTAATTTTGCTCAAATTATTTTCATATTTTTCTCTGAGGATTGTATCAGGTATTTCTCTTCTGTCATGCTTCTCTGATAGTGATACTGCAGGCTCAGTCACACATTCTGCTGAAAATACAGAACAGGTTTCTCAAGTACAAGTACCCTGCTTAATACTCTTCACTCAATTTTCAGAAGTGTTCCTGTTTAAATCAGTCACATTTGTGAAGGTCTAAGCCCTGTGAAAAATGCAGCAGGCTATATTAATGAAAATAGCCAGATTTCAAGTTTACCAACTGCATTTGAAACTGTTACATTATGTGCACAATAGCTGAAGTGCTGAATAGGTTTCCTTGGATTTTCTGAGGACATAAACCATCACCAAATTACACCTTCCCATTGCTATGTTAATATTTTGATTTGATCTAAACCCTGACCTACCTGAAATAATTACAAGCCTTCCTGAAGTTCTGAATATGCATTTCTATTTAAAAACTGCTACTGAAGTCACACCTGTCAGTCTGGTTTAAGTTTTTTATTTGTTCCTCAAGATTATCATACCTAAAATAAATGGTAACAGTTGATGCAATTGCTTCATGTACCAAGAGTGACAGTGAGATAACATTTAGTGAAATAAAAAATGAAACTTTCTAAGCAACTGAATGGTTTATGATAAAGTTATGAAGGGCTGATTTCTAGTTTGTGAGACCTAGAGAAAAACAGGAATTACTTCAGATGACTTTTGTAATAGTGAATTGTCTTAGCTTGTGTTTCCATTCAGTGTTAATACCCTACTGTTTCTTGAAGCTTTGCAAAGCGAATGCAGGCTAAAATCAGCATGACTTCTGCCACTTCCAAGGGTGACCATAGCTCTCCCTTTGACATAATGCTAGGTAGCTGCTTTCTGTCACACACTGTGGTTTGTATCATGCCAGCACAAGCAAATACAGAAAGTGGGAAATTCTCCATGCATTTTTCTTCTGCTGTGGAGAGTTGTGGTCGTCCTCTTTCAAATGCTGAAGCGATAACATTTTGATTTGTAAAAGATTGAGGATTTTCAGTGGTCTGTATGGAAACTAGGCTTCAGGAAATAGCAGAGATACCAAAATTAACCCATAAATACCTGGTGGTCCATTACTACTGGTAGCTTATTGTTGTTTTTCATACGAATTACAAATCTGTCTTTTGATGGTCTTTTAGAAGAATGGCAGTGTTCCTCATCTCTGTATAGGCTACAAAACACTTTGATCATGTCTTGATGTCACAACTATAAAATCTGGGGAGGGTGGGGGGAATTCCATACATATGATTATAGTTAGCCCACCCACACAGAAAAGTGGGAGAAGGAGTATGTGTGCACCAGTGTTGCATCCCTTTGTATGCTTAAGAAGCTCATGGCTAAGTCCTTTGTCTGCATGAGGTGGGAAGTCCATGGCAACGTGTCACTGACACCCTGGGGTACCTACATCAAAGCACTTCATAGGCAGAACAATGACATCCTTGCATTGTCTTTTCATGGGCTCTCTCTAGCCTTACTATTGTCTGCAAAACAAGATAGCTTGCGCTTGACATGGAGCGTATCCCTGGATATCTCTCCTGCGCTGTTATCTGGTCCTGTCATAGGAGCTTACACTTCAACTGTGTTTTAGGAAATTTTTCCTGATGCATATTCAACAGTACTGCCAAAGGAGAAGGGTGCTCTTTATTTCCTTCCTTTTTTTCCTTCCCTTCCCCCTTTCCCTCTCCTTGCAGTTTTCTTTCCTATCGTGCTTCTGCCCAGTACTCACAAAACTCTTGACCCTAGGAGGAATGGGCCCTTCTGTTCTTACTTCTATTCATGGATCAAGTAGCATGATTGCATTGTGTTTTTTCTGAATTCTGGATTGTATTACTATCTTCTCTGTGTTGCATCGAGAAGTGTTGCTCTTCTCTGTAGCAGAGCTTCACAACGAAACTTGCTATTTTCCCTTGAAGCTCCTGCATGTTTTACTTTTACTTCTTTTGATGTGCTACAGTTATGAATGCGGATTGATGCTGTAAAATTCATGGACATTTCTTTACAGCTGGAAGTAGCTAGAAGAGATCCCTGACAGGCAAAATTGAAATTAAGCTTCAGTTTGCAGCTGGCCATTATGTAGCAGCAGGAGCATTGCTGTCACCTGAGTGCCTAGGGTATGTCTCTATGGGCTGCTTCTGTATGAAGATTTTAAATAAACATGACAGGAGCCCAATACCCTTCTGTCAATTTTAATGTCATAGCAGCAAGTACTCAGAGCAGGAATACACAAGAGAATCTGTCTCTTCTCTTGACAGTTCAGGTTAATAATAGGAGTGCCATGTTGGTTAATACAAATGTTTTCCATAAATATGGAGGATGAAAATTAGAAACTTATTTGGCCTTTTGATAAATTAAGGACATTCACTTTCCACCTGCTCTTTTTGCTTTTTTTGTGGCTATAGAATTAATAGATTTTAATTTAATGTGAAAGTTGTGTGCAAACTTCTTTTTTGGTAAAAAATTTACGTGTATCAGTTTTAATATAATGTAAAAGGAGGCTTATAAGTGAATACAAGTACAAGCAGTAAATATCTCAAACATTAATTTGGTTTCTTGTGTTCTTATTTTGAGGTTTCTTGTGTTATTTTGAGCTTTTTGAGATCACAGATATGTGGTTGTTACCAAAAACCTGTAGGAATGCATGTGTTTGGAGTTTTTTCAGCCCCTATCAGAGAACAGATTTTCATTGAACCTCAGTTTTTTGTGTCTGAGCAGCCTCAAATGCAGTCTGGCGCCATGACTTATTTAGACCTGCCATGGGTAGGTGCTCTGGGAGTCATTTGGAGACTGAGAAGTTGTCACAGTATTGTCACAGTACAGCTGGCTTGGACAAAGTAAATCTGACCAAAACAGGAACCAAATTCAGCCAGCCCCATTCAAGATGAGAAGTAAGCACACCACTGGCCAGGAAGCTGGGCAGGGAGAGAGATCTCAGCCAATAGCTGTAGAGCCTGGGAGATTTGAATTGGGTATTTAAGTGAGTTCTGAATAGTAAACGAGGCTGTTTGTCTCATGAGCATCAGGAGCATAAGTTGTGAAGTTTTCGTCTCCCCACCCACAACCAGCACGTTACAAGTGGTGACCCCAACATGTGAAGGCACAGCCTTTCCTGTGAGTAGAGCTGGGGGGAAGACAGGGACAGAGCATAGAGATCCTGTCCAAAACAGTGAAAAGCTGGAAAAAACAGGTGTGGAGAACCTGATCTTCAGCGAAAAGCTGAAGTAAGAGGCGTGTGGAAACAGCTGTCTAAAAAAAATACGAGGTGAGCTGTTTGCAGCGAAAAATTGCTAAAAATACAGAATATTTTTTTTACTTACCCTTAAAAATAGAAGAAAATATTTACCAGACCCATGGGAGCCTGGATATCAACCCAATCACCTTCAGTTTTGAAGGTATGGTCGCATTTTTTACAAGAGTGGGACTTAGAATATGGTGAAAATTCATTATTAGCTTTAATAACGTGGGCAAAGAACCATGGATTGGACACAACCAAAGAGGCTGCCCTTGATATAAATACATGGGAACGAACTGGACATTTTATACTTAAGGCAGCCTCAAGGGGAGACGAAAATGCTATAGAAGTTCTAAAGTTTTAGAGATTTATTTTCAACGATGAACAGATGAATGCTGGACTGGAGAGCAAGAACAGAGCTCCGGAGGGGACAGAGGGAGCTTGGGATAGCTTTCCAAGCCCACGGGGGAAGAGCAACACCAAACAGCTGCCCCACACAGCCAGGCTGCTCTGTATGCTCCCCTCGCCCCAGGACTGCTTTATAACGAGCTGTTTCTTGCAACCCCGCCATGCTGGAGAGCACAGGCAGCTGGCAGTGCCCTGGCGGGTAGACAAACCCCAGCGTGCGATACCGAGCCGGATTGCGAAATCCTGCCACTTGGCTGGAGCGGCGCAGCAGGAGGGAATGGCGGGGCCCCAGGCTATGCCAACACCGCCGCAGCCCAAAGGAACACGGCAGGCGGCAGGGGTGTGGCTGCGCCAAAGAGGTGCTGCGGTGCCGTTCCCCGCGGAGCTGCCGCTGTGCCACGCGGAGCTNCCCAGCACGAGTCTATTCCGCGCAGAGACACAAGTGGAATAGAAGTCACAGGGGGAGGGAAAATTGAATGTGATAACACTCTTAAATGTCACATTTCCCACAGGTCTGACTTCTGCCACCGAAATAACACCAAGGGTTATGAAGTTTGGAAGCCAAATTTACCTCTCAAATTGTTTACTGTGAAAGATCATTTTTTTAGGTCTTGCCACTGGACGGTTGTTTCCGTTGACCCGCTGAGGGAAAAACTGACCCCCGACCTGAATTGTAAGTTTCTTGTTATTGGGGACACAAAAAACACACCCCCAGAGATTGAAATTTCTCCTGTCACTCTTTCAGCTGATTTGGAGGCACTCATCCTTTTGGCACGGTGCATCAACCCACCATTCTACCTGGCACAAGGGCAGGTAATTGCTCAAGCTATTCCCATTCCATCAGGGATCCCAGTAGATGATGCAGCACCTCAGATCTACTGGGCTCAAGCAGTGGGAGAAAACAAACCCATCATCTCATGCCATTTGAAGAAAGGTAGTGAAGGCATGGGAATGACAGGCATGATAGACACAGGAGCAGATGTGACTGTCATCCCTGAAAGGAGATGGCCACCACAATGGGAACTGCAACCGATGGTTAGCCACATCCAAGGTATAGGGGGAGCCCAACTGGCCAAGATATCAAAGGAACCCATTCAGATTAGAGGACCTGATGGGCAAATAGCATCTATTCGCCCCATTGTCACTGATTTCCAGGTTCCCCTGTGGGGAAGAGATGTCATGTCCCAATGGGGAGTCCGCATTGAAATTCCGAAAACACCTGAGGATTTTTGATTGCGGCCACTGAGAAGTGCCAGACCCAAAAACTAGAATGGACCACAGATTCCCCAATTTGGATACCCCAGTGGCCGCTGAGTAAAGACAAATTAAAGGCGCTAAATGAGTTAGTGGATGAGCAATTGGCCCAAGGCAATAATGAACCTACTTTTAGCCCTTGGAACTCCCCAGTGTTTGTCATTAAAAAGCCAGGGAAAGACAAGTGGAGATTAGTTCATGATCTGAGAGAAATTAACAAAGTCATTGTAGAGATGGGACCTCTTCAGCCAGGAATGCTGTCTCCTGCCATGCTTCCTCAAGATTGGGAATTGGCTGTGATTGACATCAAAGATTGCTTTTTCAAAATTCCTCTAGACCCTATAGATGCCTCCAGGTTTGCTTTTTCTGTGCCTTCCCTCAACAGAGAAGCCCCAATGAGAAGGTTTCATTGGAAATCCCTCCCCCAAGGGATGAAAAATTCACCTGTGATTTGCCAATGGTATGTTGCCACCTTGTTATTCCCTGTGCGAGCTGAGGTGGGGGAAGCCATTATCCTGCATTATATGGATGATGTGCGAGTGTGTGCCCCCCAAGAAAAATTGCTCCAGTCCACACTGGACCGGGTGATCGAAGTTTTAACAACTGCAGGACTCACCCTTCAGGAAGAAAAAGTACAAAAATGCCTCCTTGGAAATACCTAGGCCTGGAAATCACTGCAAAAACAATTGTTCCTCAAAAATTGGCTTTTAACAGCAATCCCAAAACCTTAGCCGACTTGCACTCTCTGTGTGGAACACTGAATTGGGTTAGGCCTTGGCTAGGCATTGCCACTGATGACCTAGCCCCTCTTTTCAATTTATTGAAAGGGGGAGATGAGCTGAGTGCTCCAAGGACACTGACTCCAGAAGCCAGGGATGCTTTAGAGAAGGTAAGCAGTATGATGGAGAAGAGACAGGCACATAGATGCCATCCAGAGCTGCTTTATTGTAATGGGGAAATTGCCACAACTTCAGGGGTTGATTTTTCAGTGGGACAAGGACCAGAAAGACCATTTGATAATAATTGAGTGGGTCTTTCTCAGTCACCATTGGTCCAAAAATATTACAAGGCCACAGGAATTGATGGCCCAGATAGTTGGAAAGGCCCGGCTGAGAATGAGAGAACTTGTTGGCTGTGATTTTTCATGTATACATTTGCCCCTTAGCCTCTCTGAGGAAGAAACCTCCTCAGTGAAGATGACCAGGGAAATGTTTGAGCAACTCTTGAGGAATCAAGAGACCCTGCAAATTGCTCTGGAGAATTTTACTGGGCAGATTTCAGTTCATGCCCCTGCACACAAATTGTTTAATTCAAAATTTAATTTGGTACCAAAAGATAAGAGGAGTCAGAAGCCCCTTGAAGCTTTGACTGTTTTTACTGATGCTTCTGGAGCATCCCGAAGGTCAGTAATGACCTGGAAAGATCCTCAGACGCAGCAGTGGGAATCAGATGTTGATTATGTGGAAGGATCCCCTCAAATTGCTGAGTTAGCAGCAGTGGTTAGAGCATTTGAGAGATTTTCAGAACCATTCAATTTGGTCACTGATTCAGCCTATGTAGCAGGAGTGGTTTCCAGAGCAGAAAATGCAGTCCTCAAGGAGATCTCAAACAGAACTTTGTTTGAATTGCTTTCAAAACTGATTTATGCAGTGTCCCATCGAGAACATCCTTACTTTGTTATGCATACCCGGTCGCACATGGAATTACCTGGTTTCATAGCAGAAGGGAATGACAGAGCTGATTCCCTGGCTGCTGCCCCTGTTGGGCTGGCCAGACTCCCTGACCTGTTTCGACAGGCAAAATTAAGCCATGAAATGTTTCATCAGAATGTACCAGGCCTGATTCAACAGTTTAATCTGAAACGAGATCAAGCCAAAGCCATTGTGGCCACATGTCCCCACTGTCAGCACTCAGCTCTGCCATCCCTGGGTGCTGGAGTCAATCCAAGGGGACTTGAAAGCTGTGAAGTATGGCAAACTGATGTAACACACATTCCTGAATTTGGACAGGTAAAATATGTACATGTATCTATTGATACCTTCTCGGGAGCAATTTTTGCCTCAGCCCATGCAGGAGAAAAAGGGGTGCATGCCACAAAGCACCTGTTGCAAGCTTTTTCTGTGCTAGGAATCCCTAAAGAAATTAAAACAGATAATGGACCAGCATATATTTCCAAAGTGTTTAAGGAATTTTTGCAGGAATGGGGAGTGAGACACAAGACAGGAA